TCATATATGAAAAAAATTAGGTCGATTTGATAATCTTAAGTTAACATTTTTATTTTATCGCCTTTGTCGTAGAAAAATGAAGACAAGTTGTTTTTCAAAATAAACCATCTGTTCATTTATTTATTTATTTATTTTTTTAGAAAAAAAGGATAAAATGAAAAGGCTACAATTATTAGATCAACAATTTTTTTTTAATATTTTAAATTTTTTTTATGTTTTATTTTTTATGAATAATATACAACGAGGATCTTACAAAATGAACAATTTGATTTATCAAAACAGAATTGATAATATACCCTACAAGACCGAACATGACAGTCAAATTCAAATTTAAACTTAAGATAAGCCGAACCTATTTTATATCACCACTTACGTGAACATTTACGATTAATTTGATTGGTTTCCTTGTTTAGATATGGTCATTAAAGAATTAATCAAAGCACCATGTACTCGGTGATGTAAACTATTTGATAAAAATCAGGTAACATATAGGAACCCTCAATTTGTTAACCTATGTCTTAACAGATGAAAGGTATACTTATATTGTCAGAAAAAGTAAAAAAATGGCAAGGTAATTTCAAAAAAACATAGGAAAAGTTTCCATAATTTCAAAACAACTTCAGAGGTAGTTTGTGTAATTTATCTTTTCCTCTTGTTGTAGGTAATACTTAGATGGTATTTGATAATCTAATTCAATATCTAAAACTGAATGTATGAAGTGAATATCAATTAAACCCATTTGCTGACCATATTTAACTGACTCTTAAATTGTAAGTTTTAAGTTCAAAAAATTAAGTTGTAGAAAACTTTTTTAATACTAACACTCCGTTTGTTTTGATGGAAAATATTTTTTATGTTTTTTGATATTTGGTACGATGAAAAATGAAAGTAAACGAAAAATATTTTCTATTGCCAATGAAAAAAAAACATATTTGGGTAGAAAATATTTTTTACTTTTAAAAGGTAGAAAATATTTTTCGGACTAAAGTTTTACTAATTTCACCACATTACCAACACTACTCTCACTTCCACCATCACACCACCATCACATAGCCACTGCCGCCACCTCCACCTCCACCTCCACATTTACCTTTACCTTTGCCCACCACCACCACCACCAAACATAGAAAAATAGTCTTCAAAAAGCATTTTTTGATTTTTTTTTTTTTTTTTGTAGAAAATATCTTTCATTGAAAAATATTTTTTGCTCCAACAAACGGAGCATAACTAAATTAGAATTATTTATGCATATATATCTATGGAATAAGGTGAAATTATATTCACAGGAAAAAGTGAGATAACGTATCCCTTCCTTAATTCTGCAAGAAAAATCAAAGTCAATGATCACTCACGACCTAGGTAGTTCGGGAGGACCCTCTAATGATCAATTCAAAATACTGATCGACCATGTATATGACGTAGGTACTAAAATGTATTAAATGAGTTTTTTGAGTTACCTTAGCCTGCCATTTGTGCTTTGCCTGTTTCTCCTTTTATAGTTGCTCTATTTGTATTGTGATCGTCCGTTCTTATTTTTATCAAAGGCCTCTGCCCTTTCTAGAGGTCACTTAGGCTAGTTGCTAACTTGCTTTTGGTATTGATTGTCAAATTCATGTTCATAGGATGGTCAAAAGGGCATTAGGTCTTAGTGGCCAAGTTGTGTTGCATGGCAATTGTTGGATGGTTTATGATTAGACAACTTCCTCGTTTGCTAGCTTGAGTTTATACCGTAGCCCTTTTGCCATGGGTTTTTCATCTATTGGATTGGGGCTTGATCTAATGATCCATGTTACTTCTAGTGATACTTCTTCTAGATGGATATCTTTTATCCCCACGCACTTGGCTTAAGATTTGTCTTGGGCTATTACTCTCTTAAGATTACCTTTATACAATACATGGCACACGACCAAGAAGTAAAGGGCCCTGTTGCCAACAATTAAAAGACTTCGAGTCATGAATAATCCGCCAGCCTTGTACCTGAAAAAGTTTATCAACACGTGGGATGAGCACTAAGCCCAGTAGAGATCCCGAAGATCCTAACCAATCACAACATATAGATAAAAATGATCATGAATGCATCAAGACATAGCATATAAGTAATGTGACATTTAATATCCAAGATATACTCATATAACTGTGTTTTTCTCAAAACACTCCTCATGACACAATTTAGTATAAAATGATTTCCTCTCTTTCACATTCCTACCATTACTTCCAAAGAAAATATTTTAAAACCTCATTGTGTCTTTGATAAAACTTCTCACAATAACATAAAGGAATCTCACTTAAATAACCGTTTTGAAAATATAACCCCACATGCAAATCATAATCCCCATCCTACCTCTCAATACACCATAAGCGTATACATCCTAATATATATGTATATATATCTACAACCTTCCCTGACCATAGGCCCAAGGATTTAAAAGGTGACCGGTATGGAACCATTAACACATATATACATTCAGCCAAGATAACCGAAGTAATACATACTGCCAATCTCATCTCCACAATATGAAAACCGACAACACGTATATATATATATCCACGCGAGATAACTGAAGTAATACATACTACCAAACTCATCTCCACAATATGAAAACTGAGAACACGTGTATATATATATCCAAAATAAGATAACTGAAGTAATACATACTACCAAACTCATCTCCACAATACGAAAACCGACAACACGTATATATATATATATATATATATCCATAACGAGATAACTGAAGTAATACATACTACCAAACTCATCTCCACTAGCCTACAACACGGATGACAGATCCAACAATACTAATACCACATAACACTTTACCGGCCTCACTCGGAAGGAGGTGCTCCTCAGGTCATACTTTACCAGGCGCAAACCGGAAAGGAACGAAGAACCCATCACAAGGCGCCACACTTTGCTGGCTATGATACGGCGAGAAACGGACCCCCTTTTCAAACTTTACCGGGCACAAACCAGAAGGGACGAGGAAATCGGCTCAACACGGCAGGTAACGGACCCCCAAAGAACATCACATCAAAAGCATAACAAACTAACCAACATCAATAATACACGGGTGTAATACATACACCTAGTCTAACCATCACAATCCTAACTATCAACAGTTAAATACATTATCCCATTTCTATCAAAACGTGCTCCTCGCACTGCCATTCAACAACAGGTTTTCTTTCATTATTAAAGTGTTTCCAAATACAACCTGAATTACTAAACATCAAAATCATACTATCTGACAACTGTCTCACAATACAAACACATTTATAAGCGTTGTAGTTATCTCTTTAACAACATAAAATGTTCACTTACAACAAACATTATATCATCTCATATCAGATAATCCATCCTACAATAATACACATGGCATACATCTAACAACAATAAATACCATCTTCCACTGATGGCCAAGGACAAAGCTCTATACGCCAATTACATAATCTAAAATAATAGATACACCCTTAGGTAATTCCACACTCAAGTTCATCGCAAGCTCTCAAGTTTTATAAAAAAAAAGGTTTTTAGTTCCATTTTGTTTTGAAAACAAAACCTTACTACTCCAAATCCTAACAAATACCACAGTGGCCATGTCCACCAACATTAAACCAAAACCCCAATTATTCATAACAACCTGTAGATAACCTTTTCTCGCCCCCTTTCGGAAGGTTTAAAACAAACCCTACAGTTCGGACTCCCGCGGTTCTGAATCTAATCTCGCAAGTGCAATGTGAAACTGATAAACACCAAAAAGTCCAAATCCGGCAAATCTTTTGAAAAATTGATTTTAGGATAAAAAATGCAAAAAAATAGACTGCTTTGCCAGATACAGAGTCGCTACCTAAATATTTTATTTTTGGGGAAAATTTAGGAAACCCATGACTCGTGCCAAAGGCCACGTGTCCGTCATCACCAAAGTTGCCTCGGCTCGGGAACTTAGGTGCGAGGGGGGAAGGTCATGAATTGAGCACCCCCGCTCGCTCGATCAAAGATCGACCTCTACTAATCATGGAATAATCCGCAAACTATAGATGGGACAAAGGAACACCAATAACCTTGACCCTTAGCCCTTTTATTACCTCAATCTCCAATGCCCTAGACAGTAACACATATTAAGTCCCTCAATCACTATAATAAACAGGAAAGGAGAGAGAGGACCTCCTTGCCTAAGACCTCTTTGGGAACTAAATTCATCTGTTGGAGAACTATTCACTAAGATTGATAATCTGGCTGAGGAGACGCAATCCCTGATCCATGAGACCCATTTTTGACCAAAACCAAATCTCGCAAACATTGAAAAAAGAAATTTCCAATTGATTGAGTCATAGGCCTTTTTGAAGTCAATTTTTAAAATCATCCCCTTCCTCTTAGCCTTTCTTCACCCATCAACCACCTCATTTGCTATTAGAACTCCATCCAAAATATTCATGCCAGCTAAAAAAGCAGATTGAGCCTTACTAATGATTTTTGGCAAGACCTGTTTTAATCTATTTGACAACTCTTTTGATAAAACCTTATAAATTGAGCCCACAAGGCTAATTGGTCGAAAATTAGACAAACGCACAACGTTTTCTTTTTTAGGGATCAATATTGTAAATGAACCATTAATCCCTTCGACCTATCTGCCATGAGAATGTAACTCCTTCATAAATTGAACCAATTCACTTTTCATTATCCTTCAATGCTTCTGAAAACATAATAGATTAAACCCATCCGGGTCAGGTGCCTTGTTCCCCTCACAGTTTTTTATAGCTGCCCATGTCTCTTCCTCTGAAATTTCTACTTTAAGCAACTCAAAATTTTGACTGAGCCTCACTGATCCGAAACTGCCATCAAGAGTAGGTCTATTCCTCCACTTCTTAGCAAAATGGTTCGTAAAATACCTGCATACCTTTTGTTTGACTTCCACTGGATCCTCACAAACCCTGTCCCCAACCATAACAGAGTTTAGCCCATTCCTACTTTGCTTACTAGTAGCCATAATATGGAAACATCATGTATTTCTATCACCTTTTAATGTCCAATCAAGCCTAGCTTTTTGAAGCCACATCCACTTAACCCATCTACTTAGTTTCCAAGCCTCACCAGACACCTCTCTTCTTCTTGCCTTTTCTGCTTCTACTACGTCTCTATTTTTAGCTAACAAATCCAACTCATGCAATTCATCCTCAACAGCCTTAAGTTTAGCTGTGACATCCCCAAAGATCTCTCTATTCCACTGTCTTAGGGCACCTCTTAACAACTTGAGTTTACTATGTAATCTGAATTCAGCCCACCTATCAACCATAGCCTCCTGCCAAACTTTCGCCAAAAAAAACTGAGAACTGAGGGTGTGCAAGCCATGCATTGATGAATCGAAATGGCCTAAGTCCCTAATCCCTATCATCCTCCATCAAGATTAATGGACAATGGTCAGAGAGTAGCCTAGGCAAACCCCATAACTTTAGCTTGAACACTTCTAGCCACTCTGGATTAACTATAAATCTATCAATTTTACTCCACTTCCCCCACTCTTGTGCATTATCTGATCTGACTTGTTTTTTGTTGTCATTTATTTATTTATTTTTTATTTTTTTTCAAAATTCACGAAGGTTGTCCATACAACGATTGAATTGGTGGTGATGGGATTTGTAGGCTTCTTCATGAAATTGATCTTCATCCTTACCAACATCTTCATCTGAACTAGTTTAGGTAATATTTGTCTTCAATCCTATGTCTCATTCGTTTTCAAAGATTAAACTTTGTTTATAGATTGAATGATTGGAATGCCTGAAAATGTTGAGATTGAGAAATATGAAGAAAGAAAAGGCTGCATGTTCTTGGTGAAAAAAGGGCCACTCTTTATCTCAATAGTTTTGGAACTAGTATTAAAATGTTGAAACTTCCTTTGGGCTGCCTAATCAGACAAGTTACTCAACTTCTTTTAGTGACTAAAAGAAGATTGAGTAGCACAACTTAAGTTATTACGAATTAATGCATAAGAGTTTGAGTGACTGCATAGTATGGGAACTGTAAAACTTGTATTTTACTTGCCTAGACTTACATGCTTTGCCATTATATTTTCTTAGAAGATGGATTTGAACAGGCAATCTTATGGTTTAATTCCAACCATTGGTTGACACTAGTTATGAAAATAAGAAATCAAAATATCCAGTTCTTCAAATAGATTTAAGGATAACAATTTTTTTTTTTTCCCACTTGAAATGTTTAGTTCTAGTGAAATGTTTGTTAAGGAAGCTGGTCATACAAGCACTTTAGATATGTTGCTGAAACTTGTTCATTTTCAATTATACCTATTTCTGGTGACATATGCTTTAGTTTCATTGTTTTGCATTTTGTATGTTGATTTCAGACTTGGTGGTGGTTATAGTTTCTGTTGCTATTGGTGGAATTATCATTTCTTGTCTTGGACAACTGGTTTGTATCTATAATTGGTTGCTGCGTTCTTTTGCAGTTTTGGTTCTAATAGTTTGTTTCTATTTTTACATTTGGCCACATGCAGTGAGCTGTATGTGTACAAATTTGTATCTGTATTTTGCCTTATGCTTCAAATTGTACGTTGAGTTGTGATAAATTCATATTAGTTTAGTAATAAAATTATACATCCATGCCTTGAGTTCATTGTACCTATCTTTGTTTTGGCAAAAAAATTTCTTGCCCCAAAAAATGCTTTCAGTAGAATATCAAATGGTAGATTAAACCCATCCGGGTCAGGTGCCTTGTTCCCCTCACGGTTTTTTATAGCTGCCCATATCTCTTCCTCTGAAATTTCTACTTTAAGCAACTCAAAATTTTGACTGAGCCTCACTGATCCAAAATTGCCATCAAGAGTAGGTCTATTCCTCCACTTCTTAGCAAAATGGTTCATAAAATGCCTGCATACCTTTTGTTTGATTTCCACTGGATCTTCACAAACCCTGTCCCCAACCATAACAGAGTTTAGCCCATTCCTACTTTGCTTACTAGTAGCCATAATATGGAAACATCTTGTATTTCTGTCACCCTTTAATGTCCAATCAAGCCTAGCTTTTTGAAGCCACATCCACTTAACCCATCTACTTAGTTTCCAAGCCTCACCAGACACCTCTCTTCTTCTTGCCTTTTCTGCTTCTACTAGGTCTCTATTTTTAGCTAACAAATCCAACTCATGCAATTCATCCTCAACAACCTTAAGTTTAGTTGTGACATCCCCAAAGATCTCTCTATTCCACTGTCTTAGGGCACCTCTTAATAACTTGAGTTTACTATGTAATCTGAATCCAGCCCACCCATCAACCATAGCCTCCTGCCAAACTTTCGCCAAAAAAAACTGAGAACTGAGGGTGTGCAAGCCATGCATTGATGAATCGGAATGGCCTAAGTCCCCAATCCCTATCATCCTCCATCAAGATTAATGGACAATGGTCAGAGAGTAGCCTAGGCAAACCCCATAACTTTAGCTTGAACACTTCTAGCCACTCTGGATTAACTATAAATCTATCAATTTTACTCCACTTCCCCCACTCTTGTGCATTATCTGATCTGACTTGTTTTTTGTTGTCATTTATTTATTTATTTTTTATTTTTTTTCAAAATTCACGAAGGTTGTCCATACAACGATTGAATTGGTGGTGATGGGATTTGTAGGCTTCTTCATGAAATTGATCTTCATCCTTACCAACATCTTCATCTGAACTAGTTTAGGTAATATTTGTCTTCAATCCTATGTCTCATTCGTTTTCAAAGATTAAACTTTGTTTATAGATTGAATGATTGGAATGCCTGAAAATGTTGAGATTGAGAAATATGAAGAAAGAAAAGGCTGCATGTTCTTGGTGAAAAAAGGGCCACTCTTTATCTCAATAGTTTTGGAACTAGTATTAAAATGTTGAAACTTCCTTTTGGCTGCCTAATCAGACAAGTTACTCAACTTCTTTTAGTGACTAAAAGAAGATTGAGTAGCACAACTTAAGTTATTACAAATTGATGCATAAGAGTTTGAGTGACTGCATAGTATGGGAACTGTAAAACTTGTATATTACTTGCCTAGACTTACATGCTTTGCCATTATATTTTCTTAGAAGATGGATTTGAACAGGCAATCTTATGGTTTAATTCCAACCATTGGTTGACACTAGTTATGAAAATAAGAAATCAAAATATCCAGTTCTTCAAATAGATTTAAGGATAACAATTTTTTTTTTTTCCCACTTGAAATGTTTAGTTCTAGTGAAATGTTTGTTAAGGAAGCTGGTCATACAAGCACTTTAGATATGTTGCTGAAACTTGTTCATTTTCAATTATACCTATTTCTGGTGACATATGCTTTAGTTTCATTGTTTTGCATTTTGTATGTTGATTTCAGACTTGGTGGTGGTTATAGTTTCTGCTGCTATTGGTGGAATTATCATTTCTTGTCTTGGACAACTGGTTTGTATCTATAATTGGTTGCTGCGTTCTTTTGCAGTTTTGGTTCTAATAGTTTGTTTCTATTTTTACATTTGGCCACATGCAGTGAGCTGTATGTGTACAAATTTGTATCTATATTTTGCCTTATGCTTCAAATTGTACGTTGAGTTGTGATAAATTCATATTAGTTTAGTAATAAAATTATACATCCATGCCTTGAGTTCATTGTACCTATCTTTGTTTTGGCAATAAAAT